TTTGCAAGTGTTTTGGAGTTTGTACGTGTTTTGGAGTTTGCAAATGTTTTTTAGTTTGCAAGTGTTTTGGAGTTTGTACGTGCTTTGTCTCTAGGGGCCACCGTAGAAAAAGGGTGATTTAAGTGACTTTGAACATGGTATTGAACATTGATTGGTGGTGTGGTGTCAGACAGACTGGTCTGAGTATTTCAGAAACTGCTGATCTACTGGGATTTTCCCACACAACCATCTGTAGGGTTACAGAGGATCCTAAAAAAGAGAAAATATCTAGTGATCGACACTTCTCAAATGCTCAAATGTCAGGGGTCAGAGGAGAACGGCCAGACTTTTTCAAGCACATGGGAAAGCAATAGCAACTCAACAAAAGCATGCAGAAGAGCATTTCTGAAAGCACAACATGCTTAAAGCTACAGGGCTACAATCATACTGGGTGCCACTCCTGCCAGGTAAGAACGGGAAACCAAGGCTATGTCCACACGTACACGGGTATTTTTGAAAACGGAGATTTTCCGTTTTCGTTTTAAAAAATAATCCCGTCCACACGTAAACGCAGAAATGAAGGAAAACGCTGCTAGGAACATGCCAAAGCAACAGGTGGCGATATATTCCTAACTGTGTAGAAATGTTGGCCAATCAGAAGTCTAGAAGCCTCGGTGGGAAATAGTAAACAAGGATGGGGCATAGAAGCAGAACCCAGTCATATGTGTGGAGGGACAGTAACTGTGTGTGTATATGTAAGCATTTAAACACTGCAGAGAGTACAATTAACATTATGGTAGAAATTAATTTCACCGAAACAATAACGTGGCGCACAGTGTGACGTCAAAAAAGGCGCACACCTTTGACGCTGCGCTTTCTGTCCACACGTAAATGCAAAAACTGAGTTTTCAAAAATATCCACCCTGGCAGGAGTTTTTAAAAATCTCCGTTTTCAGTGACCAAAAATGCCGTTTACGTGTGGAGGAAAGGTGCAAACGCAGAGAAAAATCTGCGTTTTCAAAAATACCCGTGTACGTACGTCCACGGAGATTTTTAAAAACTTCTGCCAGGGTGGATATTTTATAAAACTCAGTTTTTGCATTTACGTGTGGACGGAGAAAACGCAGCGTCAAAGATGTGCGCATTTTTTGACGTCACACTCTGCGCCACGTTATTGTTTCGGTGAAATGAATTTCTACAATAGCGGATGTAGACAAAATACTGTTACTGTTAATTTTACTCTCTGCAGTGTTTAAATGCTTACATATACACATACAGTTACTGTCCCTCCACACATACGACTCAGTTCTGCTTCTATGCGCCATCTTTGTTTACTCTTTCCCACCCAGGCTTATTGACTTCTGATTGGCCAACATTTCTACACGGATAGGAATATAGCGCCACCTGCTGCTTTGGCATGTTCATAGCAGCGTTTTCCTTTTTTTTGGCTTTTATGTGTGGACGGAATTTTTTTTATAAACGAAAACGTTTTGACAGCCCTATTAAAGATTAATATGAGTCTGTATATGCTCCAGATAGCTTTTCTTCAAATTCTTTAACTCTCACTCACGTTTTGCAACTTTGCACCTTTGTGTTACTTACAGCAACAACTCCACCTCATTGTTAGTCCATTTAAAAAACTCTGTGCTTTTCCTCAACATTTTGCAGCAATGTTTCAAAGAGCTGGAAAGTAAATAAGCAGCAGACAGAAATAAGGCAGGTCAATCTTCTTGCGCTTCACGTATGCGCAGTACTGGAACGTAAGTGTTTTCAGTCGTTTCAATGTGGACGTGCAACGCTGTGAAAACGACTGAAAAACGCATGGACGCAGAGCGTTTTCAGATGAAAACGCCGTTTTCAGATCTATCCGGCCTAGTGTGGACGTAGCAGGCTCACAATGATTGGACAATCAAATACTGGAAAATGTTGCCCAGTTTGTGAGTCTTGATTTCTGCTATAACATTAAACATGAAAGTACACATCCATCCTGCCTTGTCCCAGTGGTTAGGGCTACTGCTGGTGTTATAATAGTGTGAGGATATTTTCTTGGCCAATTTTGGGTAACAACTGAGCCTACCTGTGATTATGTCCATCCCCTCATGACCACGGTGTGCATATTTTTTGATGGCTGCTTCCAACAGGATAATACACCATGTCACAAACCTCAAATCATCTCAAACTGGTGTCTTGAACAAGAAAATTAGTTCATTGTCCTCAAATGTCCTCCACAGCCAGTTTACCTCAGTCTAATAGAGCACCTTTGGGCTGTGGTGGAAAGGCATATTCACATCATGGATGTGCAGCCAACAAATCTGCTTCTACTGTGTGATGCTATCGTGTCAATCTGAACCAAAATTTCTGAGGAATGTTTCCAGCACCTTGTTGAATGTCATAAAGAATTAAAATAGTTCTGAAACCAAAAACGGCTCCAGAGCAGTACTAACAAGGCATAGGTCACCTAAAAGAGGGTCTGATGAATAAATGTTAATTGTGTTGTTATTTTTGGTGGTGAGTTGCTCAGGCACGTTTCTGTACTACACGAATACGAAAAAAACTGTGAGTGTAATTTAATCCAGTTATTGTTATTGCCAATTAGAGTGAACTTAATTAACCAACATTAAAAGAAATCTATCATACAACGTAACAAAAGTGACCCCGCTTATCAAGTTAAGTATTTATCTATTGAATAAATTACGCTGGCTGGTTTAAACAGTGGGCGTTTCTTAATTTTGGTGTTCAATGTAGCTGGTGCTGATCTTTCAGTATCGATTAGATTTGTGAGTTTTTCAAATGGACCTATCGCTGGCGTGTATCAGATGTACTTTTCACTCTATGTGGCTGATAGGGCTTTTTGATGTGACGCAGCTCTATCGATGCATTTCGATTGGTCTGTCTCTTCTGACGTTTCACACCACTGTGCCGGTCATTGGTCTGTGCTTTAAGGTTCAATTGAGGATCGTATTTTTGTTCCTGTGTCAACGTAGAGAAGAAAAGAAGAACGGCGATCATCAGCCAGTCGGCTAAGTTTTCATCGAATATAGTTTTTCACTCCTCTAGGCTCTATTAGAAACGGTTCTTTATATCTGACACCAGCCAGACACCCACCACCCAAGCAGAGCTCCTTTTTGAAGATGGTAAGATCAACCTCTTAGCTAACAGCTAATGGGAGACACTGCTAGCTCTAACCGATTTTAGCTGTCGATTTTATTTTTTATTTTTCGATTTTTATGGGCGGTTGTGTCTATTTTTTGAAAGTTAATGCGTTTATTAAAGTCTTCAGATGTATATTGGTGTAATTAATAAGTACCTTTATACACAATATAAACTATTACCACTAAACCAAAAGCTTCTTTAACACGAAATCTAATCGAAGCATTTGCTAGGCTAGGTATGCTAACGGTAACATAAAGTTAACATTGCCCGTCGACTGTTTAATTGGTATTAATTATCTACTGCTGTGCCTTTAAAGCATACTTCAAGTTGATCAAGTTATAACTCATCTGACTTCTCTGAGGATGCTTAACGTGGTGCGGGGACCGCTGGCTCGATGATGAAACCGTAGCTCCCCCAGAGGAGCTCCAGCTCATGTTCATTACGTAAATACGTGTTAAAATTAGGAAGATAATGACTGGCAAGCGCAGATTACAGAGAAAAGCTTGTGTAAAATGACAGCAGATCCGCAGCGGAAAATGTAGATTGTCTCAGGTGGTGCCGATGATAGATTTTTTTTTCTTCTGCCATATGGCCGATCGACACATTATTAAAATGTGTGGAACGAAATCATCAAAGCCATACAAAAAATTATGTTTTAGTGTGTAATGAGTCGATACCTACCTACATAATAAACATTTTGATAATATGTTAAATTTACTTCACTCACACTCGCTGTATATTAAAGAAAATGTGTCCAGTGTGCTAACAGACCAACATGTTGAGGCAATGTCATATTTATTTGTTAGTCAAAGTTTAGGAAAGTAAACACGTGGTTGTAAAATGTGTACATCTACAGAGACAAAGGTTTTTGCAGCAAGCCAAAAACGAAGTGTGAAATAAATATTTGAGTAGACTGAAATACAAAAAAAAAGTGAAAATCAGAATGTAGAGGAAATAGCCTTAGCTTTAGCCACTTTGGTTGTCAACATAAACTGCCTAATGCTGAAACTAAATATTTTCAAAGATTAAAAATGAACTAAAATGAGCAAACCCATTCTGGAAATTAAATGAATGCTTAGAAATAAAAAGTCAAAACATGTGAAAAATATAAACTAGTGGGCTTTTTTTTTAAAGTCCCAAAGTCAGCTGAAATAACACTGAATAATATGGGACAGTTGTTGCTATAGAAAAGGAAAATAAATTTACATTGTACAAACTATCACATAACAAATGGGGAGGGGGGGGGGATGTAATGTTTTGTTTTTTTTGTTTTTTTTTCTTTCTCTTCTCTTTTTCAGCTGCTTTGGCTTACATGCTTTAAATGTAAAACTTTATCTTAACAGTACCTGAGGTGAAGTTACAGGCTTCATTTTTCCTCATTCTTAGTAAGAGTACAGCTTGGTCATTCCTGTTAGCGCTGTGGCTAAACTATTGTTATGTCTCTCCAGAACTCCAATGTGGAGAATTTGCCCCCTCATGTTCTTCGCTTGGTCTACAAAGAAGTTTCAGCTTTAGCAGCAGATCCACCCGAGGGCATTAAGATTTATCCCAGCGAAGAAGACATAACAGAGCTTCACACAGCAATAGAGGGACCAGGTAAGGATTATGATATAGTGTCATCACTTCACACTTAGAGCAGGACCGACACAACTCTTGGGAGTAAACTCACCAAGTGAGTATTTGCAGTATGGTCTTTTCATAATTTAGGGCTTTAGATTTGTAAAATTTTCTTTAAGATCTCTAGTTTGAACCAGATTTGTTGAGTTTGTCCTGACTCAAAATATTTTATCATAAAAGATCAGTACAGAGCATTTCGTATTTCATTAAATAGACAAATTGTCAGAGACTGATGAGTAAAATAAACTTAATGAAATCCATACTAATTGTATTACTTCTGTCCTTGAATAACTAATGTGGAAATTTATTTTCAAAACCAGCGATAAAATATCCTAGTTTAGTCACCTTGCAGCTTGTATTTTCAAGGGTTTTTTGTGTATTCTTAAATATATTATCTCTCAGGGTTTTTCCTGCATGCAAACATTTCTAGGTTTCTAACAAAAATATTTTAGCCCATTTTCTTTTTAGGCTGTATTTTATTTCCTTCAACATTACATGCATTCTTGTTTTTGAAAATGTCCAGAAATAAATTCAGATTTCTGTTAAGTAACGTGACAGACACTCGCCGCCTTCACTGTGTGCCAGTCAGTTGTGCTAGTGTGTTATAGTCATTAATCAAAGGGTCACCAGTGTCCAGGAAAAACCCAGAATTCTGCGTCATGTTCGCAGCAAACTGTGCATTTACAGTGTGTTTGTTACTTCACCACTTCACATCCAGAAAAACGGCTTCAAACAATAATATTTAAAGGCTGAGAGTTTCTTATTGATAGCCAACTTTGTATTATCAGCTCAAGGTAATAACATGACTGGTGATGGCTGAGCTGAGTCAGCCGTCTGCTCCATGATTTTTAGGTATTATTGAAGCTTAAATGGAAGCCATCAGCTTTGATGGAATCTTTTACTATCTGTACATAATTTAGTTTTTGTGCTGTTAATTTGTAGAATAATAAATCCTCAAGGCCTGTTTTACATTTCTATTCCCCCCTTCGTGGAGCTTTCAAAATTTATGCTGTTGTGTAATCACTTAAATTATGGGTTTTGTGGGTGTTGTTAATATCATGTGAGACACATAAGTCACTTTAAACTATCATGATATCTTGCCACTATGCACTCATTGCTTCAGACGTTATTTTTAAGTAGGTCTTGAAGAGCCAGACACTTGTCCACATTTTCTACTCCTCCACAGAGCTCCGTCGCGGCATCAGTTTCATTTATTGGGCACTGACATTTATATCTGATTTCAGATCAGGTAATTCATTATGTTAAAGCGGCAGTACAGTGTGTTTCATAATGTCAAATTTTTGTCGTTGCTATTTGGCATACCTGGTTAAAAGCTGAAGCGTACACAGACAGATGGTGATGATGGTCAAACAAGAAATATCAGATCAAATATCAGATTTTTTCATTGGAAACTGATAGAAGTTAAATGCAGGAAATTGACTTAAGAGCAAGTGACAAGGATTTGAAATGGCCTCGTAAACTTCCTTACTCTTCTCTCGCGAAAGAATATTGTGTTTATTTCACTTTGTTACCACTGATGACAGGATAATATTAGATGATTTTTGTACACAAATCTCCTGTTCCCTAAAAAGTCTCCTCGCTTTAAGAAACCTGTCTAACAGATGGTAAGATTAAATCTTCGATGCTGGCACAGTTTTCATTCTGGAACCTTTTATTTTATTTTTTTTAAAACCAAGACTAGGTGTCAAGGAAAAGTGTCAGGTGGTATTTCTTCGGCTTTGAAATATTTGCTGTTATGTGACAGATTTGAAATGATAGTTAATGTGCTCTGTGACTGACTGACTTGTATGCGCTGAATGTGTTGTCAGAGGACTCGGTTGCAGCTCTGTGACCCTCTTTTTCTGGATGACGTTTGGCAGAGTCAGGACATAATGTTCATGTGATGAATTCTTTATACTTCAACAGAGGGAACTCCATTTGCTGGTGGCATTTTCCGAATGCGTCTGGTCCTCGGGAAGGACTTCCCTGCGGTTCCACCCAAAGGGTATTTCCTGACCAAGATTTTTCACCCCAACGTGGGTCATAAGGGAGAGATCTGTGTCAACGTGCTGAAGAGGGACTGGAAGGCAGAACTCGGCCTCAAACATGTCTTACTGGTAAGAAGGATGATCTGTGTGTTTGTTTCAGTATCGCTTGTGTTGAGGCCACTAATTTCACATCTCTTTCCTTCACTTTCCTACAGACAATCAAGTGTCTTCTAATCCATCCGAACCCAGAATCGGCTCTGAACGAAGAGGCCGGCCGCTTGCTGTTAGAGGACTATGCTGAGTACGAGTCCCGGGCCCGCCTGCTCACAGAGATCCACGCTATGGGCGGCACTTCTGGGGCACCTCAGGATCCTAATGACGGCCCCCAGCCAAAGAAGCATGCAGGTGACCCGATGAAGAGAGCGGGACCCAGTGCGGCGTCTGTGCCAGCAGCTTTGGGTAATGGAGCCAATGGAGCCAGCACCACCACCAGCAATAGCAACAGTAGTAGTAGCACTAATAATGTAGCAGGGAAGAAGAAAGCAGATAAAAAGCGTGCGTTGAGGCGACTTTAATACCTCCATAGAAATTTTCAGTGTGTGTGTGTGTGTGTGCGCGCGTGTGTTTGTGTGAATGTGGGAGAGTAAATTTAAATATTGAAGTATACTGATGATGTTTTTGTTCCCTTTGACTCTTTATACCCTGAAAATCCAGACTTCTCACTTTGTACTTATACCTTATTCTTTGTCTTTCCATCACTCTGTCTTGTCCAGTTGGTGTCACGGGTTTAATTCTTCCCATACCTGAAGACGGTGACAAATTGTTGCTTTTCTGAAATGAAAGAATACACTTTCAGTCTAAAAAAAAAACATCATGCCATCAGTTGTGATTTTCCTTTGGCCTACTGTGAATGAATGATACTTAATGCGATTCACTGTGCAAACCACGGCCTCTGATGTCTGTCCATTAATGAGATATAGCTCCTGTCGTCTCAGACTTAATAGCAGCCTTTTTTTTTTCTTTTTTTTTTAAAGCGTTTCTTGGTAAAAGCAACTGTGATGGTACTGTGTACTGCACAGCCTGACTCATTGTCGAGTCTGAACCACGATGCTACCTTAAAGTCAGGTTTTTAAATTCAGCTCAAAGGAAATGATGGAAGAAGGCGCTAAAATTATGCAACGTCCAAATTGTATTCTTCGTTTTGTGATCCAATTTAGGTAAAGGTGTAAAGGTATGGATTGTTTCAAGTAAAGGAAGTCTGCTGTTTTTTGTTTTGTTTTTTCTGACTTTTTAAAACTGTTTCACTGACCAGTATTTTCAAAAGCTGTTTTTAATCGACACGTCCATATTCAGCTGTCTTGTGGTTGTGTGTGTGAAGATGTGCTCAGTGGCTGTAAGGGAACAGGGTAGATGGCATGCGCATGCCACCTCAACTGTTCTCTGTATTTAGGCATACTGTGGTGTGACTCGCTTCAACTACCCCTGCCTCCTAACAAAAGCAGCATGTCCTCTCAGATGCACCGCACGCCGACCAGCCGCGTGGAGTACCAGAGATGACAAGTGCCTAGTTTGAACCAACTTGCCCCTCCATCCGTGGCAACTGCAGGGTTTCTCGGGCAAATTTTCTTTCCGTTCTTAAATGCATGCGGGGCCTACATTTCCCAAGGAAACACACTGAAGCGCTGTTTTAATTTGGATGGAAAAGGTGCCTCTGAAACTCCTGTTACTGTGCACACTGTCTGGCTGGATATCTTGTGTCCATTTTAAATTATTTAAATTAATAAAATGTTGAAATACCAGAAGTGAAATGGAAAATCAACTCCTGTTTGTGTTTTTTCTTTGGTCCTCTTCTGTCAAGCGATGTTGAAATTAATGCTAAGAACAAATGCAAATGAGGCTTTTCTAGTGACGCGTATTAGCACATTTCGTTTAGTGGTCTCCTGTTCTGCAGTGATGGAATAACCATTATGAGGAAAAACGAGTAATTGCATCCACCCCAGCAAACCAGTGAGTTGAAGTGCACCCGATAGAGCGTCTTTGGGCCATCTAATGAAGGGCTCCACTGGCCTCTGCTGCCAACATGCAGCAGCCCACCCACCTGTGTAGAAATAGCAGCCTGCCATGCAGGTAATTATCAGACCCTTCTTAGACACCTGGGGCTCCGTGTAACCCTTTACACCTTCCTCAAGACCCGTTTTGGAAGTGCTTACCTCCTTCAACACCTGGTATAAACATCCATGCGGTGAAAACCCACACCGTGCTATTAATCATAAACACAGTTTCACTGAAGATTTTGACGTGTGTGAGATATGTAGTCTGGGTCAGATGTAATGTGAATGCATGCTGGTGTTTCTGTCACATAAGTGCGTGACTCATCCTGTAGGCCTGATGTGCAGTCAGTGATTTCATTTATTTGGAGGACAATCGTCGGGGGATCAACCCTAAACCCGGTTTCATTCATGCGTGGTGGTGATCTCAGAGGATCGCGAGGTTTGTAAGACGGCGCAAACACTTGCAAACCTACCGTTACCTCTCATCCAACTATCCTCTTTTTCTTCTCTGGATTTCCTCCTGCCCGGCTCGTCCTACACTCACAGAAATCAAGACTTGTCAGTGTAGGTTTGAGTCTAATTGACAGTTTCGTTCACGCTTCAGTGTTAAGGCTTTTGCGCCAATCCTCTCCCCTTCCCCGTTTTCATCGCTTTCATAATTGCCACCAACATAATGACACAGTTGCTGTGGCAACCATGTCTGTGTCTCTCTTTTCTCTCTCTCTCTTTCTCTCTCACACACACGTACACAAACACACTTTGGATCTTCCCCTCACTTTACCGGCTGCTTTAAATTTTGCAAGTTTTCTTCCGTTTTTTCGGAGAGGCTTTTATACATTCTTTTTTTCATTCGTTATATTTTTTTTACTTCTTCGGGAAGAACATCAGTCAAATCCCTGGTCGACATTTTTTTTCCGTTTATGTTTATTTATTATTTTTTATCAGAGCCAGTAAAACGTATGCAGGCCTTCAGGGGCGCGCAACTAAAGATGGAAATTAAATGGAGGAGAGTAAAGATGAACGCCACCAGTTGAATGGGCCTATTGACCATCAGCGCCGAGCGGAGCGCGGAGTCTCATCAGCGCCTGTCTGACCGGCCAATCACAGCGTCCCCCCCCCCACTGGTGGACCTCCGTGAGGCCAGTCGCAGTTTAGGCGGTGTAACCTATAGGCTATCGCGTGGAGACGATTAACTGAACCAGTCTTAGTCAGTTTCTAGATGGAGAAAGTGAGCCTGGCGGATATTTTGTTGGTGAAAAGCTTCACATTTTTGCGCACCTGACATGCGAATCCTGCTACTTTGCGTGCTGTCCGGGATAGTTACTCTGCAGGCTAACTTGTGCCGCACACCAGGCGGAAATTTCCGACGTAGTGTGTAGATGAAGTGCTTTGTCACATGTATCAGAAAATCTCAGAACATCTCGTTGTTCACCGACTCTCTCTCCCCTCCTCTCCCGCTCGCGTCCCCCCCCCCCCCCTTCGTCTTTCCGCCGTCATGATGGATTATCAATAGCCTGATGGAGACACAACAAGCGCGATCGAGATTTGCTGCACTTCTAAAACACACGGGCAATTAAAATAAGTGGCGCATCCAGCAACAGTTCACCATCTTCTGCTACAATAACAGGCTGCCATCTGAGAAACCGCTGAGGTACAGTGCGCAGGCTCTTCCAGCGCTCCTCTTCAGCATCAAACCCCCCAGAGCAGCGCACAGGTAAGGCACGACATTATGCACCTTTTATTAATGCAACGCCAATTACGGAATTGCAATCAAAGCTGATTGATAAGTGCTCTGTGTGTTTGTGCGTGCATGAAAATTGAGTTTGGCATCAGTTTAGACGCATCCGCTGACCTGGAGGCTGTCAAACAAAAACATTTGAATGAAATCTGCGCCACACAAAACATCTGCGGGCTTTATTCCGCGAACACCTCTTTTCCCCCACCTCTTAATCACTTTAATCGACAAGTGGCAGCAAACTGCGACATTATAACCATATTGGTATTAAGAACACTGATATCACACGCACACACCGACTCATCCAGCCGGACTACACACACACCGGCACGGATACACCCACGCACTCTTAGCCTACTGATAGATGCAAGTCATGTCCATAACCCGCATGCTTGTTTGTTGCAAGTTGCAACTTATTAACACAATGAAGGATGTAGTGTAGTCTGAGGAGTCTGTCCACATCCGTTCGTCTGATGCAAAGTAAATGCGCAGCATATATTCGCCGGTGAGACCAAAAGCAGCCGCTGCTCCGCGCGGCTTTCGCTGCAATTAGACGTCTTTTTGCGCACACGCAACACACGACTTGTTTGCGCGATTTCTCCCCCTCCCCCTAAAGGATTCACACCACAGTGCGTTTTGCAACAGCACGTCTAGAGGAAAAAAAAGGGGCCATTTTGTTTGATTTTTTTCAACAAACACCTGTTGAAATGATTGCATGCCCAGCCGTTTGCACAGCTCCTGCAGTGAAAGAGGCCCCAAGGTTCGTTTGCTTTGACACACTGACAAATCTAGGAATTTGGAGTTGTAAGTGATTGGGTTGTCCTCCCTCCTGTGGCCATGCAAGTCAGGGCTGCTTCCTCACACATGTGAATGTGTGCCTTTCACCCCTTTGGTACAGTTCTTCCTCTCTCCCTCCCTCTCTGCTGCATTGCTTCAGCACCACACTATACAGACATCTAGAGGACCAGATTTATGAATAATAGCAGGGGGGATTGTTTTTGTTTTTTTGCCATGGATCAGTCTTCTGTAGTTTAAATACATTCAGGGTGAAAATTTCAATGTTGGGCATCTGCATATGCACGTTTAGCAGGAGCGGTTTAAGGATTTGGTCAAAAAATCCTCATGAAGTGGAATGATTGAGAGCAGAGCACAGACATTACGGTGACGGGAGAGTTGGGCAGCGTTGGCGGATGACGGTGCGAGGCATCAGGTGTCATCGTGTTGAGAAGGAGACGTGCAGATGTGACTTTGAAATCTGGTTTGGCTAATGGGTGTAGATTGGATTCTACCTCCCTTCTCTTTCACTGCCTCTTTCACTCACACACAGACAGAGCTGCAGTGCTATTCTGAGAGAGTTAGCTGCCTCAACCCACGCACAGAATCTGAGAAAGAGAGAAAGGCAGAAAGAGGAAAAGGAGGGGAGCAAGAGGAATAAAGGAGAGAGGCAGAGACCGACTACGAGGGGGTTTACAGAATGCCAGCTTTATTCTCTCACATGCATGCATGTACACACTCGCACAGTAAAGGGTTTCTTTACTGTTTCACATTCTTTCCCTCTTACTCTTCCAACAGCGGTTGATTTGCAGTTCTGATTAGCACTTCTCTTCTCCTCTTGCGTGTGGCATGGACTGTGTTTGCAGATCTGTTTGGTGGTGCTGTTTGTGTGATGTGTTGTATTGGTAAGTGCTGGGAGAAATGTACTTGATTCTGTGCCACCCACACACCGCCCTCCCACTCATGGTCGTCTCTGCATCTATACCTCTGGCTCTTCCCGCTCGCCACAATCTCTTTGCTCATTTAAATCCCTACCCTGCATTTATCCCTCTGCTCCCGTTCTTTATCACTGGCTTTTCAGTGATAGTTCCTCCTGCAACCAAACAGGCACACTAAAACACATGCACACACACTTGCAGCTTTCCACGATGCACATAGCGCATTTAATAAAAATAACTGTGGTGTGCGTGTGTGTACCCAAAATGATCACACACACTCACAAAGAGGGTCAGTAAGTGTGGAGAAGAGGTTGCAGAGCTGCTTTCTAATCTAATGTCTCTCATTTGTATTGCAGTGGACATTTGGCCAACGATTTTCCAGATTTGTTCGTACGTAAACCCGAAGACAGTTGTGGAAATCAAGCAGAACGCTTAGAAACGAGAAGAAGGGGGGAAAAAATCACCCAGAGAACTCCTTTGGAACATTAGTCAGTGGGAGAGCTGCTGTGCTTCGTGTTTCTCATTTTTCCTCCACTGAACTCTCCTCACAAGGTTAGAGGAGCATGTAACTGAAACAAGTGGAGCCCTCGGTGATTTCAGCATTCTGTCTCCCCCATCTGTGCCTACATTCTCTGCTACAGATAGGGACATTTTGATAATTACATATAATTATAATTTCTGTGGGAGACAGATCTGCCTCTGTCTATTATTGCCAACACCTCCAACACAATAACTTCACACATTTACATATTTCTCCACAAAAGTGATATTCTTTCAACATCGGAGACAAATCAGGTATAATTTTACTTAGAGAGACATGTCACACGGAGAAGCAATGTGCCATTCACTTCATATCTAATTAGCGACACAGTTGAGTGACACGGGCAACATTTTGTGCCTACAAGCTGAAGGCAGAGCACTTAAAATCATGACATTTGCCTCATTTGTGCAATGTATTTTACAGGCTGGGAGTCGTTTCTTTGCTTTATGATTACTCCCAATTTTCAGTGCTTGCGGTCTTCTAGCACTTAACCAGAGCCATTCTCATTATCACCCACAGCCCAGTCACAGTAACGGTCCGTGCCAGGCGAGTACTGAGCACAATAATCCAGCCATAGAAAAGACTGAGATAAAGTACACAGTGTATCTATAGATGTGATGGGTGCCGAGAACAGGCTAACGTGGAGATAATGCAGTACTCTATAGAAACTAGGCCACACTAATGGACAGTATTTATCAGTGGTGCAGTCATTTATTTCCATTTAATTGTTTACTATGGCAAAAAGTGCCGAATATATAAAAACAAAATAGATTTAATATCTTTTTCCTTTTTTTTCCCCCCCCAGAAAGGATTTGCTTACAGGTTAAACAAGTGCCATTTCTGAATGTACGTAGTGCCAGGCTGTAAAAGGAATGAAGAGAACAGATAAACTTGTTTACATTTAACAAAAAACTGGCCATAGTCTATTCTTTAAGTGCCATCAGCGCAGGAATGTACAGGAATGCCATATTCTATTAAAAATACTTGCTCCTAACTTTGTGGTTGCAAAGCGTAATTTCACCCCTGGTAGTAAATGAGATGTTTGTTCTTTTGTTCAGTAGGGCATGTAGGATGAGGCATTAAGCACTAAAAGCATGAAGATTGTTTTCAATCTGTGCTTTTTGCAAAACTGCATCCATTTGAGTGTTCTCGAATCGAGAGGGGTTTTTAGAGGGCAAGAGATGAAGTCATTACACTTTCAGAGCTCCCTTCTAACAGGAAATTAAAAACATTTTAATACCATTATCACCAATTATTGAAACTTACAAAAACATTTTGATACTGTTTGTACAGTTTTTTTATTTTTATTGTTCCCGACCTTTTCTATTATTATAACACCTTATAAATACGAACAACACAAAAAATTTCAGATTTCATCAGCCAGCATTAGTGAATGAAACTCCAGTACCCAGTACATGCTGAATGCATCACATGCCATTTTAGTGGGTTAAACTGCAGAAGCGGATACACCGTTGCAACTGCATTGACTCAATAAAAGAAAATAGATGTCTTAGTCATGTAAAAATGCCGCCCACCACCAATTTCCGAGTCCTCGCTGTCTCCCTCCTCTCCCTCCTCACTGCCCCTCTTGCTACCGTCGTGGAGGCCTCTCCGTCCCCACCTCCTCAGCACCTAGACCGATCAGGGAGACCGTTCACGGAGGAGCCCGACACTGGTTCCAGCTCCTCGCTCATACTCCTCGCCATCCAGGCCAACCTCAGGCCAGCTGCTCTCCAAGGAAGGACAAAAACTCCAGAAACGCTCCCAGAAACCGCAGAGGAAGTTCTAGAGACTCCTCCGAGACCCCTGCCCCAGGTAATGTTCCCCAAGAATGTAACTTCAGCAGAGGCCCTCGCACCTCCTCTAGGTGCAGCCCAGGTGGCAATGGATGTATGGGTGGATGGATGCAGAGGATATTACGATGTAATGGGACACTTTGACAGCGCTTTCAACTGTTCCAAGGACACATTCATCTATTGCTGCGGAACCTGCCACTACCGCTTCTGCTGTCCAGACCGAAGTCGCCAACTGGACCAGGACAACTGTAAAAACTACGACTCTCCGGACTGGGCCAAGCCACAGACGGAGCCCATGATTACACCAGATGACTTAGGTGACCCAGACTTTGATCCACTGAAGCAGCAGAGCCACAACACGGGCTTTGTCATCGGTGGCGTGGTTGTGTTTATGGTGGCTGTCGCAGTAGGCATCAAGGTGGTCTTCAACAAGGTGCAACAGGAAGCCAACCAAAGGGACCTGAACATGCCCAGGTGAGGCTTACACGTTTTGTTTTGTTTTTGTTTGTTTTTTTAAAATTTCATCACACCTCATTGCTGAATTCAGTACTTCATTTTGATGTATGACTATTGTAATGAAATTAGGTTTTCAGGACTCCATAAATGGCCTACATTCATCATTCTGGGCCCAGAAAAATGTTATTAGTCATCAGCTGAAACATATTTGATCTTCATCGAGTGACTGCTGCGGAAATCGTGGCTGTTTTGATTTCCTCTTGGCTTTCTTATCTCATATATGGGCCGTCGTCTTGGCAATAAAGATGGGTCTTTTGGTGTTTTTACTAGTTGCATCAGTCATGGAAGATGACAGTTGTAGACCAAAACGAAGTGTTGGTTGATCCCCTCAGGGAAGCCCTGCATGTTATTTTGGTTTCACATTTTCCATATTTATTCATCATTGTACTTAAATTTATCCGCACAGTTAACTGGTGATTATAACCGGTGTAAACCCTAATGTCCGACCACAAGATTAACATTCACATTTATTTATATTTAAGCCTTCATCCTCACATAGATGGCTGATATGTTGCTTATTTGCAATCCAAAAACAGCATTCATGGGGGGAAGAATTTAGTGCCCATACCCTGTTGCCATTTTTATCTCATGTTTCCTTTATTGCTTTTTTTATGGCATCTTTAGAGCTCTGGTGGACATGTTGCGGCACCAGTCGAGCCCAGTCCAGCAGGATGAGAGAAACAACAGCGTGGCTCTGGCTGTAGGAGATGGCCAGGGGACACTGGGGAGACCGCCGAAAAATCTCTACGCCCCCGGGCTGCCCAGCAAAGACAACAGATGTGAGAGTCTAGGGCTCGTAGCGCGTTAGTGAATAGCACGATCAGAGGTGCACTTTTGTAACAGCATCCTCTCTTTATGCAGAGGCACTTTGTGCTCGTCACGTCTGTAAATGGATGCAGCTTTTTTTTTCTGTGTTCCTCCATCAAGATGTCTTTATGAGAGAGAATAAATTAAGAATTTTCAGTAGTGATGTGCTAAAAAATGAATCTTTAACCTCGGTAATTTCTCTGCGAGGGCCATGGTCATTTATAAATGATTCTTTTGGGGTCCTCTGTGTCTCTAATTCTCCACTTCAATATTAAAGTAGTTAATTGCACAAGAATGTGGAGATGGGTGCTTATGTGATCATGTGAAAATGAATTGATTTAGGTAGATACGCACGTAAAGTTTCCCTATTCCTTTTAGTTGAAGACACCGCTCAACTGCCTGACATCCATTTTGTGAGCTGATTACTTCATGTTCTTTTCACTTACAGTGGGCAATTTGCAACACAATTTCATCCACTCATCAGGCTCCAGTCCCAAGCACACTGCAACTATCGGTAAGGCAGCTGATGAAAGCCGGGCTCCCATGTAAATTGCATGTAATCACTTGGATGCTTCATTTACTTCATTCAGCTTCGTTTGGAGCTCAAAAGTAGACTCATTCATTTCAACAATAATAATGATTATCATATTTTTGGTTGCTTGTGTTAGTGCTGAAAGCAAGTTCAAATCTGTCGCTTTCAGTGAATGTTAGAAGATTCACACTCTGCTATGTGCATCGCGCTATATCCAGAGGAGCAAATCTCATTTAACACACCGTCGTCTTCTCCCTTTGGTCTCTGCAGAACGCACACCTCGGATGAACAATGCTCAGCTGGCAGCTGGAGGCACCCTGCTCTCCAGTAAGCACAACAACACCAAATCGCAGCCTTCCTTCCACCACTCCCTGCACAACCTGGCCCAGCTGCCGCCCTCGTACGAGAGCGCCACCAAGCCCGAGCTCAACAGATACTCCTCACTCAAACGGCTCGGTGAGTATCGCGCTTTTCCAGGAATGAGACATGTTCCGTCTAAGCTGCGCTCCCCTTATGCTGCTTTTTCTGCAGCTGTTTTGTAAGTGCTGAAGCAGAGCGACACTCTTGACACGGGTGCTGTGAAATGCACGATGCATCATTATGTGCTCATGCTATTTACTGTGGTGATAAACAATTCAGAGAACTTTTGTTTGGCTTGCAGAGAAAGGTCTTGACGAGTACTCATCTGGGTACTGCACCACCAAGCGCCGGCCTCACACAGCCCAGCCGGCCCTGCAGTCGTCTCAGCACCACCTCCACTGGGGTGGAGACTACACCCTCAGCGGGCGAGGGACCCTCCCCAGACATGCGGCTCGGCCCTGGATCCCACCGCCACCTTCTGGCATGCCTGCTTCACCCACTCCCAATCCTTACCCTTTGGATCCCCCGGAGCCCCAGCACAACCCCAACTACGACACTCTCTCCAAGCCTCCGAGAAAAGTTAAGTCCACCGACCAGCTGCTCAACATGGGTGATGTCCCTGGAAACACCGGGACTCTGTCCCGGCTCTCCAAGAACCAGCAACACCAGTACTACAAAGCCATGGCTGCCTCCAATAAGAACTCCAACACGCAGACGCTCACCAGGAAGACCCAGGACAGACAGGACAGGCAGGACAGGCAGGAGAGACAGGAGAGACAGGAACGGCTGCTCATGTCCCCAGACCATTTGGAGGAGAGGATGGGCGTTGGTGGGATGGGTGTTGTAGATCCGTACGCCCACACGGGAAGCGGGATCGTCCCCACCCTGCCTCGCCAGCAGAAGGCCCAGTCCCAGCAGAACGTCTGTGCAACGCCTTCCCTCGACCGGCACCACATGATCAAGATGAACTCTCATCCCACGTCCGGACGGGAGCAGGAGAGGACCACGCCTATGACGGGGCACATGAGCGGGGGTATGGGCTGGGCTGGGGAGGGGCCCGGAACCGGAGTAGTCATGGGAACGGGAACACTAGGAGGCCACAGCGCCCGGAGGATGGCTTTCGCAGCAAAACGGCAGAACACAATTGAGCAGCTACATTTCATTCCCGGAGGGGGCGGTGGGGGGTCAGCAGGGAGCGGGGGAGGAGGCAGTCAGGGGATCAGGACGGGGAGTAAAAATGAGGTGACGGTGTGAGGTCAGTGCCTAATGTAGAGTTTAGATTAAAGGGACAGGAATATATCACCCTTCTGCATTTAACTATTAGACATTCAGCTACAAGAAATACAACTAGAAGTATAAAGTATTGTAACAGTATAATGTGTTTAGGCTATTCAAATTAGTGTTATCTTGTAATTAAATAGCTTAAATATGACTTACTTATAAAAACTAAAAATTAGGTAGGGGACATCTGTTCCAGTTATGTGATAGCCTACATCAGCCATATTTTGTATCTGAATTTGCCGCATTGCCATATACAGAGGTGCCATTACTTGTAGAAGGACTGACTGGGAGGGTGAAATAAAACCAACAGAAATGCCGTTCATACTTTAGTTTTTATATATTTTTTTCAAAAAGTACTCAGGAGCCATATTAGATAGGAAACCAGATGATATTAATGAAAAAAACTGGGTAAAGGAAGCGGAGGCCTGTGTGGAATATCCTGTCACAGAATTTCAAAGAACTGAGCCAACTACCTGGACTGCCACTCCGCTCGGTCCTCACCGACGAAGATTTATTAAACTGACTCTCAGATGAGGAGCCCGGTGGACCGGACGAGGCTGAATGATGAACTGTGCGCCTGTTGAACTCTTCTGCACCGACCTCGTGCTGACTTAGTGAGACAGAACTGATTTTTTTCTTTCTTGCTTCCTGTATAACCTAGAGGACAAGACGGGCTCTGTTTCTGAGCGACACGCAGCAGTCTGACACAACGCCACCGCCCGACGGGAACTGAGGACGTATCCACATTACTGATCTGATTCCATGGGTTGCCTACTTTTCCATGTGACCTTAGATTAAACCTCCAGAGGAACTCACAATCTCATTACTGTTACACTACGGGAGCGTAAGCTGATATAAGATTATGGGTGAGTTTTTCTCAATGTTTTCATCTATAGATCAGGACCTACCTGTTTGAAAAAAACAAAAACAACGGGCTACCAAATATTATAGAGCCATCAGTCACGGCGTTCCAAAAATTCTTGACATACACATACAAAATCAAGAGATAAAAGAACAGACGTATGTGTTCAGTTTACCAATAAAGAGGCAACTCGCTCTAACGAAGAGCAGAGGCTTCTCCACAGAGCACAAACGATAGACCATGACGCAGAGGTTGCACTTACACAACTGTCCTTACAAGCCATTTATGGAGATACAAAGAAAATCCCACACAGGAAGCTGGTCTGACAATCACCATTTAATTATTATCACCAGGTGACAAGTTATTAAAAAGTCAGCAACATTTTGTACAGACAGAAGGATTGGCTTCAGAGCAAGCCGAAACCCTCAGAGTCAAGAGCGAGGGCGACCTGAGGTCCTCTCCTGCGCGGCTCCAGTGTGCCATACAAGAGACTCGGATGGTTAGGAAGCCCTTCCCATCTTCAAGACAAAGACCTTGCTGTATCATAACGCACTTCAGCCAGTATGAAAAAAAAAAAACAGAAACGGAAAAAAAAAAATCTTCATCAATAACAACGCTTTTCAATACTAAGGGCTATCCTATATACTGTAGTATGTGATATCTGTGGTCCATATAAAATGCTATCTCTTTCTATTGATTTTGTGTTGATATTGTCATGATGTATTAAGTATTAATGTGTACAAAAAAACAAGAGAAATTTAAGCACAGTTCAACGAGAATCAGAGACTAAACTTTGCACAAATCTAGCCCCTGATATTTGCACCAGATACAAGCACACTTTGTATCGTGTCCTCGAGGTTTACATTCTGTACAAGCACGGCTGAACGTGTGACCAATCAATGGAAGGTATTATACTGAGAGAGGATTTTCTTTTTTCTTTTGCTTTTTTTAAACAGAAATCGTCGGTAATAACGCCGATCAAAGAACAAACTTGCGCCGGCTTTCTTTTCTTTTTTCTTTTTCTTTGTGTTCAGTCATGTGGAAAAGCTACAGAGATGAAATGCTGATAAACAGAAACACATTTGGACAATCTTCCTACACACAGTGCTAAATGTAGTTGTTATGAATATGATGGAGTGTTATTATTAATAATTATTATAACTGTTATGGTTATTATTAACAATTATCTTACGATGTGATGTTCTTTTACTTGGTGGGATTTAAGTGTTTATTGTTTTTAGATAACTAGCATTCTCGCGACTAGTTGGTTTTTCATACATCTGGTCATAAACTCGAGTTTTTAAGACATTCCAAATCTTGATGCATGCCAGCTCCATTTCATTGAGAGGCATTTTTACAGGATGCCTGGATTTTAGGGTCATTGATGCCTTTATGGCCATTTTTCCAGCTGTATGTACTGTGCCTAGACATCGGCCTTATGACTTCTTGATCTTAAGTGATTACTTAGGTTTCCACTCTGGTATTGAATAATCTGCAGCCTTCTAAACGTACGCGTAGATGACGGCGAGGGATAGATGAGTTTGGGATGGGCCAGAAGTGATTTTAACATCCCACGCAGTCTGCTGTCTCCTCTGCGGCAGCCTGCCCCAGTAACTTAAAAATGGGTTGTACACGCTGAACCCATGATGCCATAATGTATGTATGTATCGAATGAATGTTTATTACACAGGTTGGAGACAAAACAGGCGTCTAATGGAAACCTGATTGCTTTGAGTGCAGTGTCTTTTTCAGGGAAATAGGACAGGTGACATACAGTAGTGTTAGACTTTTTTAATAGAGCCACAAAAGGTCTGTAGCAAAGTCTGTAATATCTCACAAGCCATATCCATCGAAGCTCATTATCACAATTTTATAAATGGTTAATCTAATTTGTGCAAGTATTGTATTTTGTATAGCTAGTACAATCAGAATATTTTAAGTGATCTCTTCGGCATTAATTTGAAGATTCAGAAAAATTCTGTGTTAGTATTTAATGATCTGTACAGTGCCAAACTCATAACATTTTGTTGTCTTTTTATCGTCACACCCTCCTAGATGGCCACAGGGGTTATTTACTTTTTTCACAGAGGAGAGCGAATAGACAGCCGAGTGAAGCTGAAAAGCTCCTTTTCAGAAGGAAATGAATGAATATGGTGTGTGTTTTTAGCCATTATGAATTCATTTAGAGTGCGGATTCTTTAATGGCCATCTGAAGCGGACAGGGACAGTGTCCAGTATTGGGGGAAAAAAAAAATTCATGGATTTATTTTGACGCCTATAAATTTCGAAATGACCCTTTTGTTATTGTTTAATGCATTGATCCCCTTGGATACGACAGTGACTTACAAAGAATTTGTATAATAAAGTTGGTGGGAAAAAAAAACTGTGATTCTTTTCTTGCGTTAATGCTCGTCTTTTCAACTCTTCTGTCTGGGTGAATTCAGGACTTCACCTGCACCATACTTTAAAGTGCTTCCCAACTTTTTCTTTTGTCATTAAATCATAAGAAAAAAAAAAAACTCCATTCCCAGTCATCTCAGCATGGGACATGTTAAAGATGAGCAGCATTCAGTTTCCTTGTAAATACATTAACACCGTAAACCGAGTTATCAGCTTCGCACTTGGGTTTCAAATGATACTTTATTAATCCCCGAGGTAAACATTGTTCCTCTGCATTTCAAAGCACTTCATAATACCTACAAACACCCTCGAGTGCCTGTTTTCTCAAACCTATTTAAGACTTAGCAATATATCACATTGACGTGTGTGCTCACTGGGTGCACAATGAAATCATATCTAAGCCAAGGTGTGAATAATGAGCTCTGTAGTTTAGATAAACGAGCTACTTTTCAGTTGTTTTCAGAGCTCTTACCTGCACGAACGTCTTAATAGTGCAATATAAAAACAGTCTCCGACGATGAAAATGTCAAGTGTGTTATTATCATAAACAATATCTGCTCTGACATATTTACAGTATAACATTGCACTATATATTATATAACTGCGACAGATTATTGTTTCTCACGTAAAATCTGCATGTAACTAGTAACCTGATCAAATCTAGTGGAGTAGAAATAAAACACTGCTATGGAAGCTTGCTTCTGTCACTGAATTGTATTTATTTATTGATTTGTAACAATCTGTGAGTCAAACTTTTAAGATAATAACCAGATCTGACACCAGTGGCTTGCTCAGCATCAGTATGTTAATAAATATGGGTTATCATGACAGTAATCATAAGGCAAACTGGTGTTTTATAAGGAGTCAAACTAAAAGCGCCTCCTATATTTGGAAAAAAAAAAAGGCCCTTTTAGTGTTCAGTAGGTTAGTGAGCACACAGACTGGTTGTATAATAAAATCCCATATCATCTGCCTGTGAGATGTTATATAAGTTGCAGTATGGCTATGCAGTGCTACTGGGAGCGGACAACTGCACTTTTAAATAAAATGAAAAAAGGTGGAATTGTTTTCGTATAATTTACAGCTCGAGATCGTCTGGGCTGCAAAGTTATATCACTGCTGGACGTGCTGGATTCCTATGGTGAAACAAGGGCTCCGCAGCTCATATTTAAAACCTCCTGTGAATACATTTATTGCACTGAGATGTATGAAGGGGCAGATAACAGCCACCGTGCTGACACAGAAATAATTCTTGCAGGGGCTACACAAGAGGGCACAAAAATGATTATGTTTGATTTAAGCACTATCTGCCTCTGATGCGTCAGAGTCGTAGTTTGCACATTTCACCACCAGGAGGTTCAGTGGCTCCAGGATGAGCTGTGCAAGAAGGCTTTGCTCAGACTGTAACTCACCCTTAAAGCTATTTCTGTTGCTTTACACGGGACTGACAAAAACAAAACACAGAACATAATATCATCTGACTGTTTGTAGATATCAGTAAATGCACTGCCCAAACTGTCCAACGCCTCTTAAAACTCATATTAACACACCATAAACAAGTACCTGTGAAAAGGTTTGAACACTGTGACTCACTCATTTTTCTTCCTTTATTTTTACTGTTTCCAAAAACAGTTACATGTGCATATTAGGTATGCAGGAATGAAAAGAAACAAAAATATGTTTCATATTTTCTTTACATCTTCAAAGTTTCAAAGTCACTACTGTTTGTCTTTATCAGTTTTTTCACATTTGGCTATGTCTGCTTCAGATCATCACCTGGAGGCTTTGCAGGTGTTGAAAGCATTCCCACTGGTGGCTTTTCAGGTGCCATTCAATTAATTCCAAAGCATCTCAGCTAGTTTTAGGTCACATGACTGTAGAGGTCATCTCATGGGCCACCCAATCACTGTTCATGGTCAAACAGACCTTGTAGAGCCTGCACGTGTGATCTGAATCACTCTATTTAAAAGATATTTAAATTATAGTTCCACTCCTTCAAAATTTAGTGAGAAAACTACTCATACAGATATTTTCTGTTTCCATTGTTCTTTATGTCCAGTCCTCTTGTTGCTTGTCCCAAGCAATTCTCTTAATTGCTCTCCTTCAGCAGTAGTTTCTGTGGAGCAATTTATCTCTAATTCACGCAAAGAGTTGATGCTGATGTGGTTTTCCTACTTCAGCACTGGGAACCATTGATGTGGGATCTAATCTGAGGTGGTGTTAATTGGTGACTTCTCAGGTTGGTAACTCTAATGAGCTTTGCTGCTCCAACAGACTCAACAGCTCTTGCTCTTCTTCCTCTTTGATGGGGAGATTCGCATAAAAGACAGTTTCTTCACAGCGGTTGATGGTTTTTGCAACTGCGATCGAAACTTGCAGAGTTAAAAAATAGATTCTCTTTACTAAGCTGAGTCATAATACGGACTTCTACAGTACTCACATGACGACATTTGCTGTATGTGAGCTCTATCTCAGCACAGCACACCTGATGATCTCGAATACACAAAGATGGCAAGAAAAAGACAACCTGAAAACACATCCAATAATGTCTGAAGCTAACTACAGTGCATTTTGTAGCACTATGTACTGTAGTGTATTCTGTGACATATGTCAACCTGAGTCATTTCAGTTTTAATCTGCACTGCAACAGCAAACATTGTAAAAACAGTGAAAAATATATATTGTTTCCTATAAATGATGAGAAGTTAACGAGGAGCTAGATAAATTTACATTAATATCTAAACTGCAAACACTGATCATAAGAGATTCTTTGCTCAGTTTTAACCACACTGGTTAAAACTGTTAAAACCCAGAGAGGCGTGAAATTACTCACCCCTCTTGTGACTTGGATAACTGAATCAATTGAAAAGAATAATAAAATGATTATTTAGTCTGAGGATGTGCTTCCTAAGTCACTGTTTTGCACAGATTTGGTAACTACTAAACATTATTAAATAGCTTAGTTACCCCCGACCTATTGTTGGCAATCAAACACTGAACTGTGTTGTGCAGATTTGTTGTTGAGATAGAGGGAAAAAATGCCTTTAAGACGTATTTACTCAGTATACAGTCAGTTATTTGACTCTGCCAAGCTTACAGCTGCAGATCTATTAAACTGCAAGCTGACTGTATTGAATTACATTACATTTTAATTATATAGTGCCAAATCACAACAACA